AAATAATCCAAAGTTCTTTAGTATTTTTGTTATTATTTTTAAAAAATAGTGCTAGATACAAAAGTAGAGCATAAATATAATTATTTACTTAAAATATGATTCCAACGCTACATAAGAGTTCTCATGTTTCAAAACAAGAGCCGAAAACTTCAATATAATTATTTGAATTAAATTGTTTTGAAACATGAGAACTCTTATGTAACGTTGGAATAATATTTTTAAATAAATAATTATATATATATATATATATATATATATATATATATATATATATATAAAAAATTACTTTAGAGTTGTGAATATTCATTTTTTTATATTAAACATAAAGGGAGATTACTGGTTCTTTAAAAACAAGCAAAAACAAACGATAGCTTACATCAAAACTTAATCTGGATCAACGTGTTTTTATCAGATATTTGTTTTTATGCCGATATGTGTCTATAGATTAATTTCTCTTGTTTAATAAGCTGACGTTATTTAAGTGTTTTATGATAACTATTTTTTCAGCAGGGCATTAATTATATTTATCGTCTGTAAGATTGTAAGACTTGGCTCTTGCTACAATATCCCTCGTAATAATTGGTGTATTACCAGCGTTCTTTATTTGCTAGAAATGTTTTGAGAGAGCAATGCTGTTTATGTAATTGATATTATCTAAAGTCTTTTGGTCGAAATTCCAATTCAGGTTGAAAATTGAATTCTTCAATTCACAAACACCGTGGATCTTCAATTGAATTGATTTCTTCAAATCCCAGACTTTGCGGAATTTCAAGACCTCCCGTCAGAAAACTTTTGACTTTAATACTGATTCCTTGGCATTTTAAAGAAATAAAATTGATTTCCTCAATTCACAAAGATTTGGAGATATTTCTTCAATTCACAAAGATTTGGAGATATGTTAAACTGAATTTAAAACAATTTTTTTTTTAATTCACAATTTTTTTTTACTCAGTATAAATTAAAATCTTTTAAAATCACTAATTTTTTTCAGTTATTTTAAAATTTGAATCTTTAACTGTTTTCTCCTCACCCAAGCACAAATCCCGTTGCTGGATATTCAAGCAAGAGTTGAAGGGCAGATTTTCAATCCCTGGATCATCCTGATTCCAAAAAGGTATATGTTTATGTAGAGCAGGTGTGGCCCGATTTATAAGGGTTTCAATAAAGGTTAGTTTAATCTAATATTTTTTGAATCATATACGACCACAGGGCTCTGGATTGTTTTCAGATTTAAAACTCGTGTAAGGCAACGCAACTTATTTGGCAAATAGAATGCGCTTATAGTATTCCATATAATAAAAATCTGTAGTGTAAATAACTTATGATTTATACGTTTTTTATTATGTGAAACACTATATATCAGCACATTCTATTTGCCAAATAAGCTGAGTTGTCTTGCAATAATTATGTTATATAGGAATAAAGTGTCACTGCCGACACGGAGTTTGAACATAGAACGACAGTGTGCAAACACGGGCGATCCCATTTTGAATAAGTAGATCACGTGATAGTAAAAGAAATGTATATATGGGAATTAACGTGATCTCTAATTGATCAATCTTTCTACACTATCCTCTATCTCTATTATTATTCGGATCACTATTCGGTGGCTATTTTTCGGGCGAGTATTATCGAGCAAGTGTTATTAGTGCGAGTGTTATTCAAAGGCATCTGACACCAGTATTGTTCTATGGCGTTAATATAGTTGTACCTGCGATTACAAAGTCTCTACCACAACGAGCATTACGAAAGTAAAACCGAGTGTTTGTTGACATCACAAAAAGTTATAAATCTTAAAACAAGCATGAACGTTTGGATAGTACACATAAAAATGCCTTGAACAGCCAAAGGGTTAAAAAAATATTTTTAAATACCGTATCACTTCATGTGATTATTGTTCTTCTCTTCAGGACGTAGGAAATCATGGTTCTCCAAAGATTCCGTTTTCTTTATTATCTGTGAATTACCAAGACATCTTGGAAAATATTATTGTGTGATTTCCCGTTGTCTTCTCTACGATTTTGAATTCAAAGTATGCCTTCTAGACTAACTGTAACCCAGAACTAGAAATTCCAGTTTACTCATCTGGATGAAAAGGGGGATGGATTCATGTTTTTCTTAACAGCATTTGTGTGAAAGTGAACGCAGCAGACTAGGCGGAAACTTTAACTTGGCTTTTGATTACGTTACCCCCTTCATAATAAAGATGTAAAAATGTAAAGATATTTTTTCTGACACGCAGTCATGAAGGAAAAAAAGAATATGATGCGCCAGTATAATAAAATCTGGCTTTCCTTTTCTTTTCTTTTTTCCTAGGGTCGAAGATACTCCGTAGGGTATGTGGGAAATTCACATTTGCCTCAACGACAACAGGCCTCACGTTACATTTCTTTTATTTGTAACTAGATTAAAAGCTGTACTCCGTGTGGACTTTAAGCTAGCTCCTGCGGAGGGCTAATTAGACCTCTGGCCCTAAACTAGACGCATCTCTGGTCCAGCTTAGAAAAAAGCAATCATAATTTTGAAGAAATAACTTTGAATTACTCAATTCACTCTATGGAATTTCAAAACCTCACTTTAATTCTGTTTCGAGTCATAAGTCTAATTCCGGTCAAATGATCGATTTCAGTGAAAAGTCCGATTTGGGATTCAAATTCCAATTAAGGCCGAAAATTGAGTTCTTCAGATTCCAGACACCGTGGATCTTCAAACCCTCCCCTCACAAAACCTCTCACTTTAACACAGATTCCTTGACATTTTGAAGAAATAAAATTGATTTCCTCAATTTAAAGTGTTGGAGAATATTTTAAAGTGAATTTAAAAGAGAAATTTCTAAATTCACAAAGTTTTTATGTTACTTTAAACTCAATATAAATTAAAAACTTTTAAAATCACTAATTTTTTTCAGTTATTTTAAAATTTGAATTTTTAAAATTTCTCCTCATCCAGGCACAAATCCCAATGTTGGATGTTCAAACAACAGATGAAGAGCATATTTTCAATCCCGGGATCATCCTCATTCCAAAAAGATATATGTTTATATTATATACCGTATCTATGAACACTAATGGGTATGTCCCAATCTTCATAAATACGTTGAACACTATTGTAAATGGGGGTAATCTGCTGTGTAAGTAGTCCACCACTAACAGTGGTTTACCTACTTCACGTCGCTGGCGAGTATTGTATTTCGTTGATGTTATAAAGATTACCATTTCATTTCCAACCTCCGTTTTGGTTATTTCTCATTCAGTAACCTTTCCTAGGTTACAACATACACCCATGAATTTCTTTTGCACTAGTACATATATATCCTCGTCGAAAAAAAAATACTGCGGCCAGCCTTACAACTCTGCAACGCCAGCTGTGTCTAACTTCTTCTCTCCTATAAAAATGTAAGTTCCACACAGCTTCTTACCCAGAAATGTTAATTTGTGGAACCAACTCTTGGGAGAATACTTTCTCGACAACTTGTTATATTTCGTACCTATGAACACTAATGGGTATGTACCAATCTTCCTAAATACGCTGGACACTATTGTAAGTGGAGGTAATATGGTGTCTATGTAGTTCACCACTAACAGTGGTTTACCTACTTCACGCTGCTGGCGAGTATTGTATTTTGTTGAAGTTATAAAGATTACCATTTCATTTCCAACCTCCGTTTTGGTTATTCCTCATTCAGTAACCTTTTCTGGGTTACAACAGTTTATGTAGCGCAAGTGTGGCTCGAGTTAGATGGGTTTTAGACACACGGACGGACGGACGGACAGACAGAATTTGCCGTTTATTTATTTAGAAGAAGAATTCAATAAAGGTTAGTTTTACTTTTCCATACAGAAAGAGTTTAAATGGAAACGCGAGCTGTTTTTTTTTTTTTTTTCTATTAACCTTTGCATTCTGGTCGGTCAGCAAAACGTTTAAATTCCGGATACACCGTCGGACCTTCATTCTTTGTAAAGATGCCGACACCTTTTGATTTGGCAATGGCATCGAATATTTCCCTTGGCATGTGTTGAACCATTCTGTTTACCGTAAGGGCAGCCTGAAATAAATGAACACGAGTTTAATAGAAAAGAGAAAAAAAAGTAAAGAAAAGTTATTTACATGACCTCCCCACACTAAGACATGATGTGACACAAGGATTTTTTTCTAATGCTGGGGGAGGTGTGTGTGTTGGGGGGGGGGGTCATACACGTACATAAGGACCAATGACAAAAAAACTGCCCCATCCCGATATTAATTCGACACCAGCTCCCTTAGTGAAATGAAGAAGATGCTGCCACAGAGTTGTAATCCTCTGGATCGGGCAATTTCTCCAAACTCAATTGAGAACAGATACTACACTTTGACCCTAGCCAAAAGGCCGAGGTATACTACAATTATTTTATGTTATTGTATGTGTTTCACTGGAGACAATTTTAAGTATACGAAGGTCAAAAATTTATTATATTGTTCAAAATGTTTTTTATACTAGTCTTACCCCTAAACAAGGCTCCAAAACCACTTGAGGTAGAGGGTTACTGAAAGTTCGTTGTATGTGTGGTAAGAGTAAATGGTAAGAGGCGCTGTCCAGGAAGAGATGCGGCAATGATAACGGTTAACCCTACACTTGATCTTGTTAATATTTTATTGGTCGGGAAACATCCTCTTGGGAGTCGGTTTCACAAAGTAGGCTTTCGTGGGAGGAAGCTACTCGAGTTCAGAAGGGTTTCGAGTTTGGAAAATACATAGAAGTTGCTGCTCAGCCTGGATGCAAATTGATAACAAAGCATAAGGTACCTTTGACTGCCTGAACAGAAAATCCCTTCTCTCGTTCTTAATATCCGAGAGAGGTGAATTCTTTAGGTCTCTTTATTGTCGAAATATTACATCATTCAGATCACCCAGCCTTCGCCACCTCATCCGAATATCAGCCTCCCTTAGATTATTGAACTCTTTCAACCTCACCCCCACGAGTCAGCTCTGTAGGTCTCATCTACATTAACCATATGTGTCAGCCTCCCAAATCGGTCAGTCCTCCCCACACCATCCAACTCTCCTTCATCAACAACATCTCTCAACCTCCCCACTCAGATCTCTCAGCTCCCCGCTACATCATCCAAATGTTAACCGTTCTTTGATCAGCCTCCCTTCAAATATCCAGCTTTGTCAGCCTCTCCTCCATTATCCATCTCTTTCAGCCTCCTCTCCATTATCGACCTCTGTCAGCCTCTCTTTCATTATCGACCTCTGTCACCCTCCCTTCCATTATCCATCTCTGTTTGCCTTCTCCGTTATCTATCCCTGTCAGTCTCTCCTCCATTACCCATCACTGTCAGCTTCCCCTCCATTATACTGTTCTGCCAGCCTATATATATATATATATATATATATATGTCACGTTGATACACCGGTTCTTGTCCGATCACCGTAGTTAAGCAACGTCAATCCTGGTCGGTAACTAGATTAAGAATCAGTCAGTTATGTGCCATGCGTGATCTACGAGGCAGATTTTTTCCCGCAGTAGGTTGCCATTTCTTTCTGCGGTAGATCAGTTGCCATCCAAGGCTATAGTACCCGGTCTGTTCTGCTATTTACCCATAGCCGGTGGGGAGATTGGGAATACCAGGGATGTACGGTTGCTATGGCTTACAGCCATATTACATTGAAACAAAGTTAAGCAAAGTCGAGCCTGGTCAGTACCTAGATGGGTGACCGTTTGTTAATATAGCAACTCTGGAAACAACGGATATCGTCTCGGAATGCGAACTCGGAGAACAGAGTTCGAATTCCAGTCGAGTTCGTTGCATTTACTTACGCGCAAATAATTTCTTTTCCCCAAACTACGGACAGACCGGGTTCTATAGCCTTGGATGGCAACCAGACTACCGCAGAAAGATATCGCAACTCACTGCGGGAAAATCTGCCTAGTTAATGATGAATCGAAAGAGACATGATCGCCCAAGCGTGTATCATGTATGGCACTTAACTGACTGACTGATAAAGCTTATATACAACATTAAATAACTTAAAAAAGGTTGATATACCGTCAAATTATCTAACCTTACCTAATCTAAATGAATCACGTTTTAAACAAAGTATTTCAACAGTTACACAAATATATATTTTTAAAGTTTTATATCATCGTAGTCGATACTCAAGGGAGGATTCTCGCATATTAAGGGTTTCCGGCCACACCAATTCTCGTAAGATCATCGAAGTTAAACAACGTCGAGCCTAGTCAGTATCTAGATGGGTGACCGCTTGAGAATACCAAGATGTAAGCTTTGTTGAGCGGGTGGTGTAATGGATAACGGCCTAGAATTGGAAATCGGAGAACCGAGTTCGAATTCTAGCTGGGTTCGTTATATTCACTTACACGCAAATAGCCATAGGAAAAGTTTCAATCAACTTCCTCTCCCTCCAGTTGTGAGTTAATTAGTAGGACCTGTTTCAGTAAAAATCATTATTACCTCTAAAATATTCTTACAATCTAAAACTATTTTCTGGCTGTTAATGACCTGTAAAAGGTTGATAAGTCGTAAATAAAAAAATCAGTCGTACAAATTGAATATGGACAACTTTCATTCTTGTCAAGGGATGGCTAGAGTTTCCTCTCTTCTGATATTTAAAATAGACTGCTCTTCATTAATGAAGTGAGCCCTCTGGCTGCTGGCGTTTGTATACATCCGTATATAATACGTTAAAATTTCTCTTTCTCTTCTCTGCGCCGATAGTTTAGGGGTAGGATCTGATGCCAGATCGGTCGGGTTTCGATCACAGTTTGAAACAATCGGATGTCTAGCCACAGGAGCTTGGTTTATTTCTAAAAAAAAAAAACAAAAAAAAAAAACAAGAACATGTAGATCGTTAAATGACCCATGTCCTTTATGCCTACATGAAAAGTTATATATTATTAAGTTTCTGAAAAATAAAAATTTATTAAATCAGAGAAATGAAATAGCAGTTTTCTGTAGCCATTGTCTGATATAATGCTTAAAAAATAATTAATTATGAAAAATAATTCACATATTTATATCTATTATTTGATCATAAATTAAACAATTTTACAGTATCATATATAGTATATTAGTAAATTAAATAAATATAGTATTTTAGATATGTATAAATAAAAATATAAATATAAAAAATATGACTTAATCATATTTGATTACCCCGTTAAGAAAATCTCGATGTAATTTTAAAAAAGAAAATAAATAAATAAAATATGCCAAATATATTGTAACCCAAACCTTAATAAGAAACAACTTGACAGCTTGAAAGAAAGTCAGTGTAGCCAGACAGAAATCTTAAACATCCACCCAACATTACCGACCCTTAAATTTGCCACACAAAGATACACTTGCCTTCTACATTCGAAGAAAAGCCAACACCCACTTAATAAAAAAATGGGAATTCTTTTAACACCACCAACATAAAAATAGAGTAAATCCATTTTTTTCGTAAGTTATTCTTAGGATCGCTTGTGAATGGAACGGTGCTCTGAATTTTAAGTTTAAATTTTTAAGTTAAATTTGAAGATTTAAGTTTCGGTTTACGAAACAATAATTTCTGTGTCGCGATGGAGACATTTTTTTTTAAATAATTAATTGTTTACTGTTACGTTGTTCTGGAATTGTCATCAGTGGTCAACTGTACTTGTTTTGTTTCAATAAATTTTATGATTATTAAGTATTAAACTAAAAAAAAATGTAACAAATACTATGCTCTACTTTGTATCGAGCACTGTTTTTTAAAAATAAATGCTAAAGAACTCTGGATTATAAATTTGATTGGTCTTTCCTATTATTTGAATATATATATATATATATATATATATATATATATATATATATATATATATATATATATATATATATGTGTGTGTGTGTGTGTGTGTGTGTGTGTGTGTGTGCAGCCCATTTTTATATGATTTAGTAGATCATCGGTGTATCTATATCCTTCAGGCATTTCTTTTTCCATTGGGACTAGCTGGAGGCGCTCATCTCCTCTAAAACCAATTAAGGACATGTCGTACAGAATTATATGGTACTAGCAGAATGAACGACACCAGAGTTGACATTATAGGGAGATGTGGATTCATGCCTTTCACAAAAACCATTAGTGTGAGGGGAACATAAAGAGGAGCTACCCAAAAGGTCGAGAAATTTGAACAAACTGAGCAATATGTTCATTTGTCAAGTTATTAACAGTTTCCCCTGTTTCTCTTAGAAATGAATAAGCCCGTTTTTGAGGCAACCATTTTGCGTGTTAAGTTGTTCCCCTAAATTTTAGGTACTCCTTCGTACTTCAGTCAGAATCTGACCTCGTTTAACCGATTCTATTTTCCTTGCTATGGCCGTTAGATTAATTTGATAACATATCATGGCAGTTCCATCGGCTACGGAGGGTTAATACCGCGTACGGTTCACTGACCTTTCTGTGTGCTTCCTTTGAGACGTGGTGCGTGACTGCAACGGATAGGCTCGGCTCGTTGACGATGTGCCAGTTTACCTCTCCCCCGTATGTGATGTAGGCGAACCGGAATAAGGGTTTCAGAACTGATTCACTGCAACCAGTTAGGAAAAAAGAGAACAAAACAAAATCAAGTAACACCAATCATAAAAAAAAACAACTCATTTTTAAAAGTACATAAATAAAATCGATAGCAAGCAATACACTTAAAATAATTTTAAAAAAAAATCAACAATTTCATCATTTAATTCTGATTTTTAACACTGCTACAATTACAATATCTATTTATCTTCCTAGTTCACTGTTCATATCTATCTATCTATCTATCTATCTATCTATCTATCTATCTATCTATCTCAATCTAATAGTTCTTTCTTTCTTTCTTGTCCACTCATTATATATCTCAGTCTAATACATATTTTCTTTCTTTCTTTCTTTCTTTCTTTCTTTCTTTCTTTCTTTCTTTCTTTCTTTCTATACTATCTATCTCTCTATCTCAATCTAATAGTTCTTTCTTTCTTTCTTTCTTTCTTTCTTGTCCACTCATTATATATCTCAGTCTAATACATATTTTCTTTCTTTCTTTCTTTCTTTCTTTCTTTCTTTCTTTCTTTCTTTCTTTCTTTCTTTCTTTCCATACTATCTATCTATCTATCTATCTATCTATCTATCTATCTATCTATCTATCTGTTCATATCCATAACGATCGACATCTAGTTACTTACGTGTCCAACTGGTTAATCTCATGATTTTTGTCTAAGAATTGGTCATTTTGCGTCGGGGGCGGAAGAATACCCCAGGAACCTGAAATTAAAAAGAAATAATCAGTTCAAATGATTAAATATTGTAAATATTTAAAAAAAATAAATACTCATACCACTGACATATCGCAGATTTTGCAATTACAAAAATAACTGATTGCAATTATAAAATGTTTATTCAAGTCAGTTTTCCCATTTTCCTCGTATCGGTATAATTCCATGACTTTTGAACTGAATTCTTTATTTTTTTTAAAGTGGTATCATGATCGATCAGCATGATTCCAAGAAAATGTTAAAACTAGTTTCTTTCTAGTTTCTCTTGCTTTCAGTCTATCTTGAGAGTATTTATTTCTCTAGGCCGTCTTTCTTCGTTATGCAAGCCAGAAACTTCAAATGTCGCTCTGACTGTAAGTATAAGTTTTCGTGGTACTATTTTCTTTAAAACCACTTAATTGTTTACATATTCTGTTCATACGGAATAAAGGACTCAACAAAGAAACCGTTATCCCTTCCGAATACGTTAAGTCTGTCAATGGGTTTCTAAAAAAAATAAAATAAAATAAATAAATAAAGAAGAAAAGCGGACACAAGGCGAGACACGTTATATCACTGCACACTACACACTTCCCGTTACACAGCGTAAGAAGTGATTTAAAAGGAACATCGTCTGTCAGACTCAAGTCTGACAGACGATGTTCATCGTCAAAGTGAGTAGTGGACGGGTCATGTGACGCATAAGTTATTGCTTATGTTGCCAAAGCGAACTGACCTGTCTTTTTCAATATTTATGTAAGAATCTTCTTTTGGTTTCAAAGCGCCTAGAATCACTTGATTGCAGGTATTAAAAAATACCCCCCCCCCAAAAAAAAACAACCTGAACAGACGGCGTCGTTTTAACTTGAAGTTACGTGGTTGATTTTTAATGTAGGGGAAAATAATATTAAAGGTAGAATGGCGCTAAGCAGACCAAGCATAAAAATGATTGAAATATGCGTGTAATTATAAAGTCAGTCTACGACGCCAGATTTGAGATTGTTACATTTTACCTTTGACACTCAGAGACGAAAGAGAGAATAAAAAGTTATAATAACCAATCGAGAGAGAGAGCATAAAGAAACACGAAAAAATGATTAAAAGGTGAAACAACCCCGACATTTGCATATACGCACATGCACACACGGGCATGCACACACACACAAGTGCACCCACAAAAGCACACACAGAAACAATGAAAAAGTGCATAAATTATTATTATTTTTTTTTTTAACTCAATATGAAAATAACGGAAACGAGAAAATAAGCAGACAATTGCTGGTACCTGTTGACGAGTAGACAGTGCGATTAATAAAAGGTCCGTCTACGAAACTCTGGAGTCGGGCTGGTGAATATAACATCAATCAACTAAGTGACGAATTTCATATTTGTATTAATATATATATATATATATTAATACGTATATATATATATATATATATATACATATATATATATATATATATATATAATACAGATATAATACATATATATAATATATATAATACATATATATAATATATATAATACACACACACACACACACACACACACATATATATATATTAATCTCATGGGACCAACACTACATTGCGGATTCAAAGTTCATTTAATTCGGCCTTGTGCCACATCTGACCTCGTGGGGCGGTTGGTAGATATATTAGATTTGGAGATTCGTCTCCAGCTTTGCTGGTCAAACTCTCTGCTTCTGAGTAGAGAGAATCCCCAGGCGAGGCTATGTCGAAGGTCAGAGTCTTGTCTCGGGAAACAGCTACCCGGCCACGTTTTAGATGAGGACTATGGGGAATTTGTTGGGTATCCGAACCCGTAGGCTCGGATACCCCATATTAAATTCGGCTTTGTGCCACATCTGACCTCGTGGGGCGGTTGGTAGATATCCTAGATTTGGAGATTCGTCTCCAGCTTTGCTGATCGAACTCTCTGCCACCGAGCCGAGAGGATCCCCAGACGAGTCTATGTCGAAGGGCAGAGTCTCGTCTCGGGAAACAGCTACCCAACCCCGGGGTCTATGGGGAATTTTTAGCCGAGTCTACGGGGTCGGATACCGTACATTAAATTCGGCCTTGTGCCACATCTGGCCGTGTGGGTTGGTTGGTAGATATCCTGCAGTGGTAGATTCATTGTGGAATCCACTTGACTCACTTCTAGCACTTGGCTACTTCTAAACGTTACTGGTGAATCTTATATGTGTTGTTCATTATTAACCTTCGTTTGATTTAGTAACCTTCCTTAGATTACAACAACAACATTATATTAAACAAATATATTTCCAACAAAGCGTAAAAACAAATGCAACTACAGAAAAAATAGCTATCCTTTAAACAGCCAATGTATGACTGATAATATTGTATACCGAGCGAGTATACATTCCAGTAACGATGTTAAATTTTATTTTGGTTCCACTAAAAGTCCTTGGAAATTTCGTTTTTACCATTAACGAATGACCTTAGGTAATATAAAATACAAAAACAGCATTGCTCTCTACAAATAATTCTGGTAATTAAAGAATTATAGCATCTCACCATCAATCAACAAGAGCCAAATCTTTAACAGGACAGTAAATGAATGTAACTGATGTCTTGTTGAAAAAATATATTAAAATAACTGGAAGCGTCAGTTAGCAAGCTCGAATTACTGCTTTTAAACTACAAAATTGCCATGATTTCACTCGAACGTTCATATCTGCTCGAAGCGTATCTTAACGTAAACAAATGACGTCATATATTATGAAATAGATCAAGTCCGACAATTATTTTAATATGTTTTATTGTTATACGTTATTTTATCGGCACAAGCATTTAAGTAAATACTCTGTTCATAATAAACGGTAACACGACCTTACAAGCCGCTTCCTTCATAGTTAAACTGGTATAGCACGTCAGGCTATATGACGGTTCCGTGTAGGATATAGGTTCAATTCCTGTCGGGGGACGCATATTTTTTATGAAAATTTCTCGGATATTCAGGCTGGCAAATGTTGTTAATGCTGTTTATTGTAAACAGAGCATTTACTTAAGTATTTGTGCCTATATAAAATACCATATAAGAATAATATATATATATATATATATATATATATATATATATATATATATATATATATATATATATATATGCACACACACACTTCTGTCTGTCTTTATATAAATATACACGCACGTATATACATGTGTTACTATAAAGATGACATTTAGTGGGTAAACGTCTTTAAGTTGACATCGTGTTTTTAAACAGAAAATTAATATCTACCGGTCTAGAAACTGAGAAGTCCTACTAAAGAAGGTAAAAGTCGACAGGAAACGAACCTGTATTCCAAGTTCAGTTAAGGATAGTAATAATAATGTCGGATTATAAATCTATTAATTGCCTAAAATAAATTTGGTTGGTCTTCAGATACGAAAATAAAGTTAGTAAATATAAACTTGGAAATGTCTCAACGAGAGATATGCATTTTCTTAAATAGCGTAATTGAGCCTTTGCTTTGTCATGACCCAGCAAAGGTTCAATTACTTAAAGAAATACAAAATATTGTACTCACAAGTACAGCCCACACTTTACAAAGAGCTTTAAAAATGTGTGTCATCTTGGTTTTTTCGGGGTTTTTTTTTACCTTAGATCTCCGGTTGGCACCCGGAAAGAAATGTGTATATAACAGAAATCCAAGGAAATAATAATAATAATAATTGTGTACGTGTGTTTATTTGTTATAATAAATGCTTCGATAAATGCTTATCTGGAATGAATATTCACATATAGGTTTAACGAATTATATGGGAACATATCAAGTTTGCGTGTATAACTTGTTAGTAAACAGAACAAAAAGAGATGTATTTATATAACTTGTTAAGCAGTTGATGAATTTTTAAACTTCTGGATCTTATTACTATCAACTTTATATTTAATGGGTATACTTGTTTGAATGGGCCTTATGAATTTAGGTCAGACCACAATTATTTTGGGGTTTTTGAAATTCAATTTGTCTGTGCTACCAGGGATGCAAAAGAGAATGCATTTATAAAGCAACTGTTAGGTTTGATGAAAATTGGTTGAAAGATCAACGAAAAATAAAGAAACCAGTAAAAATCCCTATTTTTCACTATTTACGTGGATTTTCACTATGTGGGTGGACTCAATTATCAAGTTAAATGGCTGTTAAACAATCGGCTTATTGTTGGCTACAATTGAGTGAAGTTTGTATTAGATTGCTTGAAAATTGAGGGAGTTTTTAGTTTAAGATTTGTGTTGAAATCGATTTGTGCTGAAATTGATTTTTTGTTTTTCGCGTTTTTTTCGTTAAACGCAGTGGCGTAGAAATATAAATGAGGTATCGTTGAGCTCGTCATGATGTAAATAACCTACATACCAAGTTTGAACGAAATCGGAGGAAAAATGTTGAATTTATCGATTTTTGATCGGCTTTATCCATTATTGATTTTTTTAAAAATTATCGCCAAGAACCTATCTCTTACATTGTACAAAATCGGTTGGATGGATCTCGAGTGGAAAAGTAGCACACAAACAGACAGACAGACATCCTCTGTTTTAGATAGAGAGATTGGTCCCGTGCCTCAAGAATAAAACTTTCAGTTTCAGCTTTTAACAACTTATAGGTATGGGGTTTGTCAACATCAGCTTGTTTGGTACGGGCAGAATATTGACCATGAAGAGGATTATCTTGCCATCGTTTCTACATTTGGTACATTGCATTTGCTTTCATTTTTGGTCCTTTGCCACTACAATAGGTATATTATGGTTTATTGGTATTTCTTCGCCTACTTGAAATTCCCTTTTGAATTTGTTGGCTTCCTTTATTACTGAATAAAGTTTCTTATTTCTTTCATATTCTTTGACACAGATCATCATCGAATCTTCTGTAGTTTCTTTGAAGACTGTTGTGGTTTTGTAAGATTCTTCTCATTCTTCTTCTTATTATTATTATGTGAGACATAAATCTTGCTAGAGAGTAATTTTAAGTGCCTAATCATCAAGTCCGCTCCGGGGTCTTTATATAAATAGGCTACTGTATATATAAATAGGATACCGTAGGAGAGTTATCTATGCACATTTGGAACGTTTTGTTTCGATGGAAATGGTTTTGCGGATGATATATGCAGTTCTGAGATGCTGACGTGTTCAGGGATTTTACTCACGTTATTATTATTATCATCATCATCATCATCATCATCATCATCATTATTATTATTAGTATTATTATTATTCCTTTAAATATTATATTTGTAGTTACATGTTTTGACTAGAAAATCCTGTAAATGTCCATCCTGTGTAAATTTACGCCTACCGACCTATGCATTCCTCTTATAAGGGGAACCACTGTCCGGCCAGTTGTTCCAAGGTTCACACACACACACACACACGCGCGTATGTATGTATATATATATATATGTGTGTGTGTGTGTGTGTGTGTATGTATGCACATATATATATATATATATATATATATATATATATATATATGTGTGTGTGTGTGTATTGTTTAAATTCATTAAAATGCGGGTGTATCCCCATAGACTTATGTATTCACGTCCATGATTTTATTGTTATTCTTTTTTTCTATCTATCTATGACATTCTGCTTATAGCCCTCTCTCTCTCTCTCTCTCTCTCTCTCTCTCTCTCTCTCAATCTATCTATCTATCTATCTATCTATCTATCTATCTATCTCTATCTATTAATCTATCTATCTGCTTTCTTTTGTTACAAAATGAGAAGAGTCAGTCTCTGTTGCCAAGACTTCCTGTCCTGTAATGCTTTCGCAATGCTCTCTCTCTCTGTTTGTCTCTCTCTTTCTCTCTCTCTCTCTCACGCGAGCGCGCGGCTCGGGGGCGTATGAAATTAAAAGCTTTTGTGAATGCCAGACACTTCACGAATAGGCGTCCATGAAAGTCAACAAATGTCGCGTTCTTTGATGGTTAAAACGTCTACTGTCGACTGCAAAGCCACAATGAAAATTTTACTCGTGTTACTTAATTTTTTTCAAAGCGCGGCAATGAGATCAAATATTTACACAACACATGCAGCTGATGTGTTGGTTTTCAATTTAAACTCGACAAAAGTGTTGGACACTTTCTATAGCTGTTTGGCGTTATCTCTAGCCACTCAAACCCGACCTTAATAAGTACAGGTTTTAAAACATCCAAGTTTTTTTTTTAATGGGCTCAGAAGATAAAGCCGCCATTTTTTTCGTACACTTCCGGTGTAGTATATTCGAATATTCAAGCCACATGATATCCAACTCCTTCTTTAAGTGTTCATGGTATTATTTACATTATTTACGTTGTCCGGACTGTTCACTATTGCAGTAGCTAGGTATTGAACTCACAACTTTGGCCCAGTGGATAAAATTGTTGGTCGAATCTAGTGACTTGACTGCAGTAATGAACAAAAACTTGGAAAGTTGAGTTAAAGGGAGATAACTGAGGCATCCTGAAGAGGCATGGCACGCAGAACTAGAACAATATATCCCGGTAGGCGAAATAAAGGGTTCAGTTCGAATTCCGATCACCTGAAGAAGGAGCATACAACAGCTGAAATGTTGTGAATATGGCAATAAAGATGAGGACAACTGTCCGAACAGTGTAAATCATGTAAATAATTACAATAGCTCTTCTCAGAAATATAGACAAATATTCATGGTTTTACTCATATTTCTTTCATTATGTCGCGTATTCAAGATTTCAGGCATCAAGAAAAAAAAATGTCCGATTTCGTACTGACTAGCTATAGTGGTTGGATTAATTCAGTTTCATTTATTAACGTTGAAATCCTCACAGTATTTATTATTGTTGAATTTATCGATAACATTTTTAGTCGAGATTTACAAACTCTACATTTCGTTCAGTTTCGCAAACCAATCTACGATATATGAATAAGCTGATTTGATTGGAAAAATACTTTGACAAAAAACCTACTTCACAGTTTAATAATTTCTTTAATTTAATTTTATAAGAAAATTTGTTTTTTTTTTTGTTTTTTTTTTACTTTTTAACAGTAAAGAGAATAAATTCTTAGGATTTCTTACTCTTTGAGTATGCAACATACAACTGGTCATGTGTAAATATTTCTTTCTGAAGACAAATTCCAACTTTTTTTAAGCAGTTGGCCTTGTGATTTGTTTATAGTTCTTGCAAATGCAAGTAAAGAAAAGATAAGCTCAAAACAATATTGTACTTTTATTAAGTAAGTATTTATTATTTTAATCATTAAATCGTTTTTAAAACAGTGGGGGTATTTTGTAAGTTAAATAATATAACTTTTAATCCCCATCCATGAAAAATGAATGAAAATTTTTAGTACTAATCTACGCATCCTAGTAAAACCAACTGTCCCCCCTTACCTGTTCGAATATCTCGAAATTTGCATTCGATTGATCAATGGATGGCCAATGAGATCAGATATGACACAAGGTCTAGATTTCTGTGGGGAACCCGAGTGTGCCAATTGTTAGAATTTGCCCAGCACTCTCATACGCGGTCTCCAGTACATTTATTGTCTGTTTTTCTCAGCTGTGTCTCTGTAGTTGAGTCTCCCTCTGCCCGAAAACAGAGGTCTTGACAATCGGGGCCAGGCAGTGGAACGCCTGATTTCTACGAGCTTTATTAATCTCGGTATTTACCCAGTCTCCCTGAGAGGACACGCGACACAAGGTCGAGATTATTGTGGGGAACCCGTGCGTTTCCACACGTCCCAATTGTCAAAATTTACCCGCCTGATTCCGACGTGTTTTGATGAACACATTATTTATTATTTTTAAAAATACAATAATTGTGGCACAAAGCCAAAAGGGGGAAATTGGGTGAGACTGGTCAACATTAACTGTCCTATACCGAGTTAAACACAATCCATCCATACATTGCAATTTACTCTTTTACCACAAGAATTCATCCTTCACCATTCACTCCTACATATAACATAATCTTACTTATTATAAAAAGTAGATTGTGTGTGTGTGTGTGTGTGTGTGTGTGTGTGTGTGTGTGTGTGTGTGTGTGTGTGTGTATCTGTACGTTTATATATTGGATCGGATTTCCTACATTTTTCAACCGATTTCAACAAAACTTCACAGGACTACGTAAAATTACCTTGTGGTGGTTCTGACAGCGCCCAAAATTGGAAAAACACAATTGTTTTTGCACGAAATCAATTAGAAAACACGATTAAGAGGCATCACTCGCCAGAATGAAAGGTGGGACAACTCATATCGAGTTATACTTATTATAAAGCTCAGGTTGTTTGCGCGCGTGTGTGTGTGTGTGTGTGTGTGTGCGCGCGTGCGTGTTCGTTTATATATGGGATCGGATTTCCTTCGTTTTTCAACCGATTTCAACAAAACTTCACTTTTTTTGGCAGGTAGTGTTTCTTATTGTCTTGCACACTTTTTTCTTTATTTATACATTCAGAATGCTTTAAAAATTCCATTTACAAGACAATTGTTTATAATAAAATTCTATTCAATCAGTAGACTCATAACGATTGAAAACAATGTTTTTGTTTGTGTTTGGGTTTGACCAATTCGTAAAAAAAACAAACTAATTAAGACAATAATCTTTGTCAATTTTATTTTTCAGTCTTTATGATGGTCGATACTTGATCTATCTCTTACTGTTACATCCCCGGGCAACGCCGGGCTCTACTGCTAGTACTCTATATTCATAGAAAACTTACAAAATCATCCGATGACATAAATAGTTTTGATGAATCCTGCATATCAGCAGAGTTCTCCTGAATATATGTGAGTTCAGAACAGATCCATTATTAGGGAAATGGATCATACCACAGAAGGGACAAAGGGAATCCACAGAATTTTATATATACGTAGATACAAAAAACAAAAACCTGATAACTTATTTTATATACGTAGATACAAAAAACAAAAACCTGATAACTTATTTTATATACGTAGATACAGAAAACAAAAACATGATAACTTATTTATATACGTAGATACAAAAAACAAAAACATGATAACTTATTTTATATACGTAGATACAGAAAACAAAAACCTGATAACTTATTTATATACGTAGATACAAAAAACAAAAACCTGATAACTTATTTTATATACGTAGATACAAAAAGCAAAAACCTGATAACTTATTTTATATACGTAGATACAAAAACAAAACCCTGATAACTTATTTTATATACGTAGATATAAAAAAAACTGATTTTATTATTAAACTTATTTTTCAGACTTCTGGTAAATAAGTCTATATGATTAAAGGGTACAAGAAGAAACACTGTCTATATCATGGTTTGACTTCGCGAATGAATATTTACAGTTTTTCCATGATTTTTACAGGTTCTCGCATGTCTGTTGGGGCCGAGTGGATTAGCCCTAAGCATGCTCTAGTGACGTTTTTAAGAGCACACAATACGTTGAAGCAGAAAAGGGCATCAGATTGAAGGTTTTAAACTAAATATAAATATTCGTCTTAATCCAAAAGTGTGTTGAATGTTATTCTACACTGGGAAATTAACTAAAATATATCTTGAATCTTGTTCTGATGATACTGTAAATAAACATTGAAATATTAACAAAATAAACAAAAGTACCTTGTTTCGAAATCAAATATAGATATTCTATGTTGTTTAAGTTATATTTACCATTTGTTTTAATGCCACACGTTGGACAAAATTATAGTGGAAAATTAAAATCTATTTTAAAATTATTTTTATAAATTGAAATTTTCTTTTCTTGTCACAAAGTGTGTAAAAACTGCCCAAAAGTTCTACATATCCGAGCGCTTTCGGCTATTCTTTTAGCTCTTCTCAGGGGCGAATTTTAACTGAATGTGTGTGTTTTTTTTTAAGTATGTGTCTGAAGTTATGTTTTATTTTCCAAACACGGTCAGCACATTTTGGCCGTGTTCATAGTTTATGTTATTGTGTATTGGTTTTTCCTTTTTCATTATTAATGTTTCCATCATTTTTAATCTATTTTTTACATTTGGATGAGGTTATTATACTTGTATTTTCTGCTAGTATGTTTCGGATGGAGTTTGGTAGGTTTTCGTGTGCGTTTAAATGAGTCCTAATTGAGCTATTCGGATAGGTGCAACGTAAGTCGTCTCGATAGACATGTAGTAGTATGACCAAAATAATTATTTATGAGTTTGGTTTGATCAGTTCCTTAAAGGGCTTTTGAACTCGTAAATAATGTTGGTTCTTTGTAATTTTGACTTTGCGGGTGTGTTTAAGCGTCTAATGATTATAAATAATCCGTCTTAATGAAACCCTGCCCCTCTGTTCCTCCAAGACTGGCTCATTTGTTTTGTGGTCCGTTCAGCTGATAAGCATTAATGGGAAAACCGAGTTCCAATTCCATTTGGTTTCGTTATATTCACTTACGCGGAAATAGGTATTCAACTCACCTCTTCTCCCCCAGCTATGGGTTAATTAGTAAGACTTGTATCAATACATCATTATTATCTAAAAAAATCTTGCAATCTAAAAAAATGACTTTAAATGACCTGCAAAGGGTTGATAAACCGTAAAAACTAACCAATCAATCCAAAAGCCAGGATTACTAATTCGACTTTCCAAGCTAGAGAACACTTGAACCTTTGATGAACATTTTTGTTCCTTCTGGCGTAGTGCTGTACCAAGCGATGCAATCTACACTCACTACAAAATTCTTGATTCAAATCTGTCTGGATTCTGGTGTAGAGATTTACTTTCCAAAGCAGTCTTGATACAACTTGTAAAGTTCCATTCTGAAAGGTTTCCTCATTAGCGTGACATTGGGCCAGACTAAAGTGAACTCTGTAATAGAGTCACTGGCTACCAAGAAATGGTTAACACACTAAACTCGCACAGAATTACAAGAGAAAT